CTAAAGCAAGTATTATATTGGGGCATAAAGGGGAAGCTGGAATATACAAATGGACTCACGAACATGATAAAATTTATATCGGTTCTGCCGTTGATTTATCTAGACGATTGAAAGATTATTATTCCCCTTTAAGGTTAAAAAAAGCAAATAATTATATTTGCAATGCTTTAATACGTCACGGTCATTCAGCATTTTCTTTATCGATTATAGGATATATTGATACTACAAATCTATCGAAAGAAGAAGCACGTAAACTGATTCTTGAACGAGAGCAACATTTTTAGATAGTTTAGAGCCAAAATATAACATTCAAAAAATTGCAGGGGATTCTTTAGGGCAAACACGCTCAGAGAAAACTAAAGCTTTAATGAGAAAAATCAAATCTGGTACATTCCATTCTGAAGAAACTAAAGCTTTAATTAGCGAAGCCCTTAAAAGAAGGAATCACCCTTTATAAGGTCAACCTTTTCAGCTGAGACTAAAGCAAAAATGAGTGTAGCAAAAACAGGTCAAAATAATCCAAATTTTGGGAAAGTTCATTCAGCTGAGTCTAGACAAAAAAGGGTCTTGCTCGAGGATTCCAATTTTTGTATATTCATTAGATGGTACGCTTGAGAATAGTTTTCCTTCTGCTATTTTAGCTGGAAATTTCTTTAATACTCATAATAAAACAATATTAAGATCCCCTTGTTAAAGAGGTGAGATACTCAGAGAAAAAGATATTTTATCTTTAATAAAAAAAAAATAAAATTTCAAGTTTATTAAATAGGAACGAACAGGTATTTTATAATGGTAGGGGGGGTAATATACCATTACAAACATTTTGAATTTGTTAAATTGTTAAATAATAATAATTTAACACCCCCCCCCTTAGATCTATAAAATTAATAATATATATAAGGTTCTATGGTCAAACGGTAAGACACTGTTCCTTCACAACAGGGTTATCGGTTCAATTCCGATTAGAATCAAATGGTCTAAGACGCTATTCTTTCACAATAGAGTTACACGGTTCGATTCCGGTTAGAGTCAAAATGTAAACAACTCCTTCAGAGTAGAGTTACACGGTTCAATCCCGGTTAGGGTCAAAAAAGATTTAACTATTAAAATTGAAAAAAATTAAAAGAAAAAAATAAAGATTAAATATCCTTTACCTTTTCTTCATTAATTTGAAGAAATCCCGGGCCGCTCCACACTGCGGGACGAGCCTGGCGATTAGATAAATTTTTATTTTATTATTTATAACGTACAAAATCTATGAATATTTGCCGAGCCTATTAGCTCACGATAATTCCTCATTTAGTCTAATAATCCTAAATTACGTAGATATTTCTAATTTAGCAATTAATGAAGCGAAAACTAAAATTTTACAATGTAAACAATTCTTTCAAGTTTTATTATCCCCTATTATATTCTTAATATAACGCGCAGCCGGATCTCTTCAAGGGTATAAACATTCAGAAGAATTAAAAGCGAAAATATGTTTACCGAATCTGATGATCACAAATCAAATATTTTTTAGACATAACGCGCAGCCGATGAGAATAACCCAAATTTTGGTAAATCTTTTTCTGCTGAAACTCGTTCTTTAATTAGTCTTGCGATGAAAGATAAAGATCTAAGGAACATAAATCAAAAATGTTCCCAGCCCCCCCCCCACCCCTGCAAAAATTGCAGGGCCTCCGACTCGTATTACTAAAGGTATTTCGGGAGGGGGGGGGGGGGGGAGGAGAAAAGGAATTTTGTATACTACAGTGATGGGCTTATATTAATAGTTTTCTGAGGGCCGGGCCCTCTGCAAACATGCAGAGGTGGTCCCGGGCACTTTAAAAAAGCGAGTGATTTTAAATTTGTTCGGATCATTCTATTTAAAGATATTCGGCTTCCGGCATAAATGGGAAATTATTTAAAAACAATGGATTTTATCTACAACTCTAAGAGGTAACACTGTTTCTTTTTAATGAGATTTAAAATTTTGTCCTTTTACAACCAAAATAAACCTCCCGTTGAACCCCCCCCCCCCAGCTCTAAATATCTATATAAATTATATATATATAATTTAGAAGTCTGGGGTTGCCTCGGGTTTATATTTTATTATAATAAAATATAATATATATTATTATTCATATATAATATAGAATTATTGCTTGGTCTTCATATTATAGAAGATTGAATTTTTCTCTATGTGTTAACTTCTTTGTACGAAAATACACTATTTTATTTAGTTTCTCCGGGGGGGGGGGGGGGGAACCGCCCGGGGGCTGTTTCTAATTTAAATTGAACCCCGGTTAATTAGTTGGTTTTATCTTTGATCCCCCCCTGCTGGATCCTGTTAAGTTTTCTCGGCCCATCGTCTAATTGTAAGGTCTTTTATAAAATATGAATTACCAACCATATTGCAAAATTCAAAGTTAAATAAATAACAGTATGGATATGTGATCTTGGAACCCTCGTAGGAGCCGATTATCTTTAAAACTTAAAAGTTCAAATCTGTTCTTAATTATTGAAAAATACCCGGCCCGGCCCGCCGGGGGGCGGCCCGGGGTTTGTTAATAATTATATAATAATAATTCGTTTTATTCTAAAACGAATTATTAATGCTTATTAAATAAAAGTTCAAATTTTTCTTAATGAGGGGGGGCTTAAATTTTTAGATTTTGAATTAGTTCCCTAATTTAAATTATACAAAGTGGTTAGTTAACATAATGGTAATGTATTAGTTTGCAAAACTTAAAGATGTATGTTCAAATCATACACTAACCTAGATTTAATAAGAAATTTATTAGATCGATTCCTCTTAGTTAGTCTTTTTTATTTAACTAAATTTTGGTTAACCTGCTGTCTTTCTGTCCTCTCTGCATGCTTGCAAAGGGGGGGGGGAATGGGAAGATTTAATTTTAATTCTTTTATCAATAAAAATGCCACAATTATTATCTTATCTTGTACCTGTGATGATATACCATAATACAGAAACTGCCCCCCGGACCCCCCCCCCCTCTCTGTATCTGCACGGGAGAAACAGATGAAAATTTTTTTCTGAGAATAAAGGTAGTTCAATTATTTATATGTGGACCCATAAGGAAACAGGTAAAAGATATATCGGTTCTGCTTTTGATACATCTAAACGGCTAAAAGATTATTATTCTTCTTATTCTTTAAACCAAGCAAATAGCTATATTTGTAAAGCTTTAATATATCACACATATTCAGCCTTTACTTAGTATATCCTTGAATATATAGATATTCCGCCCGGCCGATCCTCAGCAGATTTAAATAAATTTAAAACCCCGGGCCGGGTTTTATAAAATAAAGTGGCGCAGGCCGGGGATTAATCTAAAGAAGAGGCACGTCAAAATATACTTTTACGAGAGCAGTTTTATCTCCCCTGGGGATAAAACCCCCTCAGAGTTTTATCTCGATTTGATCTTTTCAGAAGATAAGCCAAATACTAAGAATTTATTTAAGGAAGCTAGATCCCGATTAGGCTCTAAGCATTCTCCAGAAACAATAGCTAAATTGACAGGTAAAACTCATTCTCTGAGACATTAGCTAAATGACTGAAATTCAGAGAAGCATAAACAGAACAGGGAGAATAACCCAATGTATGGTAAAACTCTTTCTACTCCTACTAAAGCTTTTACGAGTAAAGTTAAAATTGGTGAAAATAATCCAGCTCCCGTCGGGGGGGGGGGCACCCGGCGGGCGAGCGCCCTTGGGAGCTAATAAAAGTGTATATCTTTATTCTATTGACCCGTAGATAAAAGATTTAATACCCCGGGCCGCCCCCGGCGGGCCGGGCCCGGGTATTTTATCTTTTAATACTTGTACTGATGCTGCTAAATATTTTAATTGTAGTATTCCGACTATATCTAGACATTTAGCTCAAAATAAAATTTATAAAGATTAATGGGTTTTCTCATTATACTTAATTTATAAGGAATAATAGAAGGGTAAATATAATATTATCAATAATAAATTTGTTAGTAAATAATTCGTTAGTTAATTATTACTATTAATGACTATTTCTAATTTTACCCTTAGAATTTATTATTTCATTTTAATTTACTAACGCCCTTGAGAATGGTAATGAATTGGTTTGCAAAACTTAAAGTAGTATGTTCGAATCATACACTAATCTAATCGGCTCTTTAAATAAAATCCCGTTGGGCCCTCCATTTTTTATTAAATAAACTTATCCGGGATTAGAATATTCCCTAAGGAGAGTATTGAATTTATTTAATATTCTAACTTTAGGACTCATAAGCGGCGGGTGTTAATTTTATTATAAATTAAATTTACGTAAAGAAATAAAGCAAAGAATAGCTATAGCTCAGATGTAGATAACTTCCACTTATCTTTAAAGATATTCCCATCTTTAGCATATTTTAGAATGGTATGATAGTTTGTTTACAAGAACTCTGCAGCTTTCTAGCTGAACTAAAAGTATTAACTAGAAAACCTCGGTGTGCCCCTCGGGAGGGTAACCCCCCCCCCCTCTGTCTGTATCTGCACAGGGGAACCTTGAGTATCATATTTAGAAATAGCGGTACCTCGAGCAATACAAGCCGGGGGCCCCTGCAGGAATGTAGGGGTGGGGCCTGGAATTGTTTAAAGTCTCTGAAGAATGAGTTTTACCTATTTTGGCTTCACTAATTAAAGTTTTAGTTTCAACCGAAACAGTTTTACCTAAATAGATTACACTAATTAAAGCTTTAGTCTCAACTAAATGAATTCGCCCAAACATTGGATGTTTATCACCAACTTAAAATTTTGCTCTACTTTCTGCAGAATAAAATTTACCTCTCATTTTAGCTAGCCTCCAGAGGCGATCGATTCTTCAGTGTGTTTATGTGGTAAAATATTATTATTCAATTAATCATTCGATGTTTATAATATTATAGAAGGGTAAATATTTTATTAATAATTTATCAAAAATTCTTTGAATTTAAAAATAATTATTTATCACATTATTTTTCATATATTAGTCACCAATATATCTTGGATGGCAATATTAATCTTATTTATTATAGTTTTCTATGAAAGTTCATTAATTAAATTGACTTGTATGAACTCCTCCCTCCCCTATTTGAGGCTTCAAGTGAAAAAGTTTAGTCGGAAATGGAGAGGGGGTGTTCTTAGATAATTATAAGCCAGATTCAGTTATATAATTAAACATAATCCCGGGCCGCCCCCGGCGGGCCGGGCCCGGATTTATTATAAAGTGATTCAATAAACCTTTAGAATTATAATTAAATCTACTTAATAAAGATAAAGTCCTATAAAGACTTATTCGAATTAATAATAATATAAAGTTATATCCATTTTATCAGAAAATATATCTTACTCTTAAAGAGCTAAACTATAATAGGTCTTATATTAACATTCTTATACTAATTAAGGTTTTATCCTTTTACTTGCTAACATAATTTTCATTCACCATAAAGGTTTAAATTAAGCTAATAGTAAAATCTATTTAAAATTTTCAGTAGAAAAGATTAATAACATAAAATTTATTCGATATAAGGAATAAATTAGGGCCAACGGGCTTTTATTAATAATTTTAAAAGAATCAGGGGATTTTATCTAAAAATAAATAGTAAAGATTTGATTTCTTTAAAAGTACCTTAATTTTTTAATTATAAATTTAAATATTATATTATCCCGGATCAAAAAAAAATGTATTTAATACATACATAGATAAAAATTATGGATATATTTTTAAAATACACTACTTTCCTTATATATCAATCTTTATAAAGCAAACCTCTATACTTTATATTTTGTCTTATAAAACAAAACTCAGGGGGGGGGGTTCTCTGAGACCTAAGTTTTCCAAAAAAGAAAAACCAAAACTAAAGTTCTGTCAGGTAAGTTTAAAAAGACTTATTAACTAGATAGTTAAAATCCGTCCGGTAAACTAAGAAAAATAAAACGTTTTAGCTAAAAATTTCCGAAACTTTTATATAATTCT